ACTCTTATTTGCCATCTGTTTTGAATGCATATCAAAGTAAAGTCTGTGTGTGGTTGGGATCACGTTCGCTTGTTTAACTATGTGTGTGCTTGTGTATCTACATTTGTTGGTTGCTCATTTGCTCATATAGGCATGCTCAGAGTTTCTAGAGCTTGCCTGTGTGTGGTCGTGTGTGTGTGTGTGTGTGTGTGTTTGGTCTTGCTTAGTCCAGCTTTCATAAAATGCACTGATTGAATAAAGAGTAATTGTGATGTAGTTAAGCAGTCGCTGAACCCTGCATGTTGTTCAAGTGGGTAAAGCCATTAGCTGAAGCATAAGGTCTACTCCAGTGGACACGCACAAAACAAAGGCAACTTGTGGGAAGCCAGAGGAAAGGATGGCAGCGGGTTAGTTAAGTGGCCTCGGCATTTGTGCTTTTTTTGTCATGCACTACATGCTGGTACAAACAACCAAAGTACAAGCTTGAAGGCACAGAAGACCTTGTAAACTGTTAATTCACTCATAATGTTTTCCAGTAGCAACAGCAATGTACATGCTTAGAATAAAATCTGTGTGGGCAGTGTGCAAAACATCAGGAATGAATATACTCCCGTTTTCTCTTGATTGTCTCAAATGTTCCCTTAATGCGTTCTGTATGTTTTAAGCTTATTAGTGTCCTCAATGCTTTTCCCTTCATTTGACCTAATAGATGACTGACTGTGGATACAATTAATGCTCTGTCAGGAAACACTGATGAGTGTCATAGGGGTGTCCCGAATTAAGAGTATACATTGTCATGATCATCGAATCCTGTTTTTAATTATGTTTGTGCTTATTGATCACCCTCTGTTTTAGCTTTATATAGAAAAACAGTAAAAGCAACAACACTATTGGCCTAGATACATGTGACTCTCTCTTAGCTGTTGTTCCAGTGTGATGGACAGCTCTGTGTTGTGCAGTGTGCGTTTGTGTGTGAGTGTGTACAGTGCGGCTCTATGCAGAGTACTGCAATGGAGCAGAGATCAATAGACAGACCGACTGACAGACACAGTTTCTTAGCCTACTTGCTTCGCGTGGTTGCAAAAAGAGCTTCAGAATTTGACAACATGGAAGCGAAGGGAGAGTCAATGAGAGAGAGGGAGAGAGAAAGAGAGAGAGAGAGAGAGAGAGAGAGACGCAAGCCGCACCTCCGCCTGCTGATTTGAGAGAAACTTTCAATTCTAAATATATTCAGCACTCTGGTAGTGCTACCATCTTTCAACATGAAAGCAAGATGTCGCTGCGATATTCAGGCGTATATGGTGATTTATTCACTCGCACTATTTTCATTTTTTTATTAACAGCATGTTTAATTGGTTGATATTCAAAAACAAAATAGGCTCAAGTATATATCATGAGAAATCAAGCGTATATTTAAAATCAGACATTCAGCACCCCTGTATAGCCAGAATGGAATGATCTGTTGATTTACAACCACGTTTTTTTCACTACTGCGGCCATTCAACTGGGAGATTGGCAGTCGAATCATGCGCCTGAGATCAAATCGTCGAATCGAATGTGTAGATGTGTTGCTTAACTAAAGTGAGACACATCTGCCATAGTAAATATACAATCAGCAATCCCATATACTATACCTATTTAGTCTATATAGTATATTAATCTTTGCATGCTATGTTCCATAATAAGTGATTGAAATACTACGGAGCAAATGCACTATGTCAAATGAAATGACACAGATATGCCCCCTTATAATATTAGATTGATATCATATTACTATAATCTGCCGCAGCCTGTAGGCATCTGACAAACAAAAGGAAAATCTAAAGAGCGGTTTCTTTATTTGCACCCCCATCTTAGACAGCAATCTAAAAATGCTTATTATAAAATCTAGTCCGTAATGATGCAATTTTCTGTGTCACTTCAATCTTTTTGTGTCTGTGTGGATTGGCGGAGCTGTTTGAATAGGATGTTGCAGTAAACAACATTGCTCTTCTCAACAAGGCCCCAGCGCTCTGAGACTGTTGGAGAACCCTTCAACATATGAAGTGTTTTTCTACCTCTGACATGACTAATCTATTTTAACAACGCAAGTACCATCGTAAACTACGTGACGCTCCTCGACGAAGAGCCCTGAAAACCACTGGATGACACTTGAGGATGACAGAGTATAGTTTCCATACTTCTAAAGCCACATCCACGTCATGTGTTAAAGGTGGTGGTGACGAGCTCTTTACTTGGACCTCAGATACAATGACCTCTAATGGCATTACGGTCCCACTGGACACAGCCACTGGGTTAAAGAGATTACATGATTTTGTTTAAGACATCGCAAGTTTAAACCCGTCTTAAACCTTGAAACGCAGCTAAGCTACTGATGGTGCAGCAGCCCCTATTAGACTAAGACAGTAACACACTTAGGGATTCTGCATCGCTGCTTAGCTCACAGATGTAAATAAAGACACGGGAACGCAAATGATTTTACAGGATTGCTTATTTGTTCTTCACACTTGCAATATAAGGCATATGGCCACAGATGTAGCACTGGCTAATTGGATGTATGAAAAAGCTGATCAGGAGAAAGCACAAGTCTGCAGAATCTTCAATCGCAGCAGCTTGGCAGCTTCAAAAAGACTTTGAATGTGCGAATACTTGCAAGTCGCCGCTTTTAACTGCCAACTCGTCCCACTGTTTATCCCCGTGAGATTGGAACGCAGCCTGAGATCAGCTTCAGTATATGGAACGTGTGGAGAATACCGTTTTGAGCTATCTGGGAAGCCAGTTGTTCATCAGTGAGCAAACCATGGGTGAAACTGGCTTTATGGGAAACCCTTTAGGGAACCGGGATGTCCGCGTGGAAGGCTTTCAAAGAAGTGGATAAAGCGGGCTGCACACATGTGTGAGACAGAACCGTATTTAACACACCACTCCAAACAGAGCTTAATTTGTCCTCCTTGCCCTTAATCCCGTTGGTTAATCCACCATTTAATTTGATCCCAGTGGTCCGACATGTCACCTCAAGCTACACAGGGTCTGTAATTTATGTGTGCGTTTACGGAGAGGAGTTTGTGTGAAATTGAGCTCAATTCAAGTATAACCTTTTTTACATATATATATATATATATATATAACAATTGATATTCAGCCTATGCGTCCTTTCCCATGCTGTATATATGGTTTGCTTGTCACATATAAGCGTGACAGTGCGGCGCCGTGATCATCTATCCTACCTTGCCTCTTCTCGCTAAATTAAATTAGGTCTCCCCCCCTTCCCTTTCACAGCTTAGCCCTTATTTTAATTAGCTCGCTGTCTGATCTCTTTTTTCCTCTCCCTCTCTGATAATTCTCCCTCGTTTCCTTTGCATTCCTCTGTCCCTCTCACTCATTCGCTCTCATTACTGTACAGTCATTTCTCAGGGTAATTAATGAGCTGATATCTGCTTTCATGTCACAAGGGTCGTGAGCTTTCATTCTCTCTCTCTCTCTCTCTCTCTCTCTCTCTCTCTCTCTCTCTCTCTCACCACTCTCACCTCTCTCTCTCTCTCTCTGTAGCATATGAGTCATCTGGTGCTCTATTCAGCTGCCGCTCTGTCGTTCTGCTCTTCTTTCTCTGCACTCAAATAGAGATAGAAAGGGAAAACAGGGATTGTATGACCTCCGATGTCGCCGCATAGTTCTGTTCCGTAATTACGCTGAGAAATGAAAGAGAGATACAGTATATAGCGAGTTTTCCGACCGCACAACTGGTGAATGGCTTCTTAGTCAGAACTGGGTAGTGATTTGATGTAATATGAATGCGCAGCAGTGATATCAACCTGCAGTACAGTGTCATCTCACTGACTCCATTCAGATAGCAACAAGAAAGGTGTCACTTACTGGAAGAGAGAGTGAACTGATCTCCAAACACTTCTCTGAAAGTGTTGTTCTGTCAATCATTGTAGTGTCACATGTTGCTGCTGTGCAGGACCAGCATTAAAAGATAAGGATGGTCATGCTCTGTTTTTATAAATATTAATGAAACTGACTTGCCCACAACAATAGGGCAGTACACCACCTCTTTACTGACAAAATAAGTTTTCACACAAAATATTCAAAATCACTTTTTTTTGTGTGAGAAGGGTTTACTGAGGCAAAACCTGAACTGCTTTCACCCTCACCCAGCCTGTTCATGTATTAATGTGCATACGTCTGTGTGTGTGTGTGTGTGTGTGTGTGTGTGTGTGTGTGTGTGTGTGTGTGCGTGATCCCTTTAATCCTGACTCACCCGTGTCCTTCAAACCCCAATCAAGGTTGTCATTAATGAGCATTTTCTCTCCCTGCCTCTCTCTCTAAACCGTTCATAATTAACTACAAGCACTGCTGCTTACTAATGTTGACTGAGTGTGTGTGTGCGTGCGTGCATAGCAAAACGGATGAGCAATAAATGACTCTAATAAACATCTCTTCTGGTTCGATTAGCGATGGCTAAAAGTTGTTGGTGAATCAGCTCTTTGGGGCCTTCGGGTTTCATGTCTGAACATAAGGATGCTTAACTTCATCGGGATCTGACTCACTAGTTGCCAAGTGTGATGCATGTTCAGGAGTTAGTCACTGATGTGCAAGTCAGCCTTGTCCATACTGCACAGATCATCCTACCTTCAACGTATGCACTCAACCAAGACAGCTCTCTGTATTCAGAGCGACATTCGCTTTTGTTGATATACTATAGAAGGAAGTGCAGTGGGTGATAAGTAGTCTATTAGTCCAGCGCAGTTATACCCAATAGAGAGAATACAGTGTGCAGTCCGCAGCACACTTGATTTTCTTGCACTGCATACTGAAGACTTTGAAGAGACACTGGGAATATAATATAAAACATGTCATTAAGTGTGCCATAATTCCCTATAATTTCTCTGGGTAAAGAAGTGCCATCTGTTTCCATTATGGCTTATACAATATATGCTAAGTTCCCACTGAAAGAAAAAGTAAGTCCGATGACATTAACGTCTCCATTTCCTTCTTGCTTTTGTCTCCGTCTGTCTCAGGTGTCTTGTCCAGGTGGGGCGGTAACCATGGAGAGGCTGTTGCTGTGCCTGATGCTGGCAGTTGCCATGGCAGTGCGGGCACAGGTCTGCCCGAAGCGCTGCGTATGTCAGATCCTGTCACCCAACCTGGCAACCCTCTGCGCCAAGAAAGGTCTACTGTTTGTACCGCCGAACATTGATAGGCATACGGTGGAGCTACGGCTGGCTGACAACTTTGTCACAAGGTAACGGTCACATCACTAACACTGCTAGCAATACTCCCCCCCCCCCCCAAAAAACAATTTGCATTTCTGTAATCAATTACTCACCCTGTGTTGCCTTAAGTTCTTGAAGAAAACTTTTCTTGCATCTCTCCACGTCTAAATGAAGAATCCAAACACGTCCAGGTTTAACAACAGCAAAAGTAATGCTTTTTATAAATGATATTAGTTGTAGATTTCCAAATTAAACTCCTCAACTGGAAGGTTAAAAAGTGAATCATGGCATACAATGTTTCTTATGATATTACTACTTCACTAGCATTTACTTATTGACAACCAACGTATAATACTTGAAGAACTAAGTACAATAGCACTTGGAAAGTTCAGCCTTTATGTGCGAGAATGAAACATTTTTTTTCCTCAAAGCTGGAAATAGAGACACTGATCTATGATGTCATGAAGCGAGAAGGCCCGGAGCCTCTCCGGCGAAGATAAGTCGCTGAATCTTTGGACAGAGCAGCATCGCCCAGGGTGCCTTTAATGACGATACGAGCACATTATCCACCGGCACAAGAATGAAATAATACTCATTAGGTGTGAAGAAAAAAACACATTATTTGAGGCCGCAGACAAAGTCCTAGTCGGTTCATAGTCAATAGAGCAGCTCAAGGCTGCCTCCTGATTGCGTTGCAGTTTAAATGAGCTGCACAGGGAAAAAGTCACACCATGTGTGAATTCAGTTTTCTATTATTTTGCTTGTAAACAGCTTTTCTGTAAAAGATCTCTTTTCATTTTTGAAATGTTGTTATTGAACATCGCTTTCCAAAAATAAATGAATTAGTATCTGTAAATTGACTCAGGTCAACGGCTTCACGTGTTGGTGTTACTCAAAACTTTAGCTTGCAGCAGCAGCAGAACCTCTACCAGAGGAAGTCTCATGACATGCAGCATGTCCCTTGTCTTAGCTGAATGTTGCTTATCTGTGTCCACAGTGTGAAGAGGAAAGACTTCTCAAACATGACACGGCTGGTGGACTTAACATTATCCAGAAACACCATCTCCTACATCACACCTAATGCCTTTACCGATTTGGAAAACCTCAGAGCTCTACACCTCAACAGGTACGGTCGCATACAGCTGTGTTCGTCATATGAGTATTGCATGAAATCCCCTTGATCAATAGGAGATGTTGTACTGTATTTCCAAAAGCTGCAAGCTGCTGGGTTTGTTTTTATTTCACATCGCTCTCTCTCTCGCTCTCTCTCTCTCTCTCCCCCCCACACACACACAGTAACCGGCTGACGAGGATAAGCAATGATACATTCAGCGGGATGACGAAGCTACACCACCTGATTCTGAACAACAACCAGCTGGTGCTGATCCACCAGGGAGCGTTCAACGACCTGCTGGCGCTGGAAGAACTGGACCTCAGTTACAATAACCTGGACTCTATTCCTTGGGAGACCATCCAGGTCAGGATCTCTTTAAACTGCTGCAGCCTTTCCCACCAGTCTGGCTGGAGTCCACTTCAAAAAAATCCAATCCCAAGCATAATAAAATGGCCATAAAAGCTCTTTTGGACATTTGTTTGAAATTGAAATAAAGAGATCTTAAAGGCTTTTGGATTGAACAGAGGCCATTATGTGTACTATTTATTAAGCCTCACAGACACTTCATTTCAAAGCATTTTCAGGGATAACAGTTTCAATTTTATCGATGCTCTTTGCCAGCCAACAAGCAGTTTTTATGTAATACAAATGTCAAGGCAATCAGTTTACTTGAGTAAAGTAGTTCGACTCAAGTTTGATAAATAGATGCTGCATTAGATAATTGTGTTTCGATAATGATTAACCACATGATGGCTTTGTTGTTTTCAGTTTAACTTTACATTTACAAAATAGACATGTAAACATCATTAGTTAACTGCAGCAGTATCATCACCACTGCACTATTAAAAGGAACAGTGGCAATAACCAGGATATTGCAGCCTAGGAAGCCTAAATAAGTAAGGAAGGAAGTATTAAAACAGTTATGTGTGTCCCAGCATTCTTAACGCACTTCTTCCTTTCAAAACAATAATGAAATCCTGTGTTTCTCTCTGTTATTCCTGCAGAGAATGATTAGCCTCCATACGCTGAGTTTAGACCACAACATGTTGGACTACATTCCAGAGGGAACATTTTCCCTGCTGCAGAAACTCAACCGGCTGGACGTCACCTCTAATAAACTCCAAAAGCTGCCACCGGACCCACTTTTTCAACGAGCACAGGTATTCCCAGAGGGGGTTTTATCCCCCGCCGCATCAAAATCCAATCTTACAAAAAGGCCTGGAACTCTTAAACATAATCAGGCTCCTCATTTTAACATTTATTGGAGACAAACTGAATTCAAACTAAATATATGAGTCAAAACTTTTACTTTAGTTGTCCTTTGTACAGTATGTAACTGACCACTGTTGAGATATCTTTTCATAACTCAGGAAACTTTTAGCTTTTTAGGTTTAAATTAACAGTTTTTTAAAACTTTCTATAATATATATATATATATATATATATATATATATATATATATATATATATTATTTAAACTGCACTGTTCTAAAGATGTTCTAAAGACTGGTGAAAATAGAGTAATTCTGTGCTCTGCTTACAGATGAGATAAATGAAATTGTGTAGTGTTTTGCTCTTAAGAATAAAATGAAATGCAGCTGTGCCACTAATTGAAGAGGAGTCAATGGAACAGCTTCCATACTAGTGACAATAGACCCTTTTAACAGCAGCCATTTTCACACGTCATAGCAGCATAACACTGGTGTAAGTGTGTAATCAATTTAATTCTATTCCTATTCTATTTAGGGTGTCACAGTGAGCCAGCTTGCACAATAGCAGGGCCCCAGCCCTGCTGAATGGAACAGGGCCATAATGAATGTTATTAATGTGTTTACCCTGCAATGACATGTCAAAATGGCTGCTGTGTAAAGGGCCTATTAAACACTGTAAATCTGTTTAGTGCGTATTTGAACCTTTTTCTTCAAAAAGCATGCAACTACATTTTGAATCAATACTTCATATTGTCTGACCCTAGTGATTTATACAAGCAGCTGGCCACATGTTCGAGAAGGGAAAATATGTATTTTATCACCTTCGTTTCTTTATCCATTAATGGGAAAGAGCAAGCTGCCACACACTCAACGGGTGAGTTCTGGTTGAACTAGACAGCTACCTTTTGAATATGTGGATTTGAGTGTACAGCGAGGTTTTACTTGAAAATAACATTTTGCCTGACTAAAACACAATCATTGTTTCACACTACCAGGTCCTGGCCACGTCGGGGCTCATGGCCTCCTTTTCTTTCGTGTTGTCGTTCGGTGGGAACCCTCTCCACTGTAACTGTGAATTACTGTGGCTGCGGAGGCTGAACAGGGAGGACGACCTGGAGACGTGCGCCTCACCCCAACAGCTCTCTGGCAGATACTTCTGGTCCGTCCCCGAGGAGGAGTTTCTCTGCGAACCTCCGCTCATCACCAGATACTCCCATGAGATGAGGGTGCTTGAAGGGCAGAGAGTTACACTCAGGTACCCCTATCAGTTCCTTCCTATAACCAATCTGCCCAATTGAGTAACACGCAAGCATACAGACACACACACACACACTCTCTGTTTTGATTCATAGTTGTGTGCATTATGTTTACAAGCTGCACGGGAATACAAAAAGTGCCCAACTGTTCAATGAAGCACAAGGCAGGAACATCACGCTCAACTTTTAAGGAGGTTGAAACTAAATCAAGAACAGGTCTGAGAGATGATGATTACTTCATTTGCATATATATTGGTCACACTCTTCCAATCATGATATATGTTATGTTTTCAAATATGGAATTATAGGCAAAAAAACAGGGGCAATGGAAATTAATGTGATGCTATTATTCTCTTTCCTTTATTGTATCTTGTCTTCGGCTCCGTATATGAGGTATAAATCGAGATTATCAGAAGGTCAACACACCTAACATTTTTCATCCTGTGTAGTGTCCAGGGTAATGCATTCAACAGCCAATGTCGGTCATGTTTGAAGAATGCGTACAGTGTGAGCCTGTAAGCAAAGTCCCCTGAAAAATGACCCTCAGCTCTTATTTATTCATTTCATCATAGCACTTCACTATAATTACAGCACATGATAAATGTCACAATGACCACGACAATGCACCAATTTAAATTCAGAGGTGCACCTGTACAAACGATCATTGTAGAAAATTCACCGGTATGAAAAGAAGGCAATTCTTTCTTTAGTCTCCCCAATATTTAACTTCCCTGATTAATCTTCGCTTTGGCACAATCCATGTCTTATTTGTCATACAGCCTAGCAGCCATTAAACAGTTTTCTGTCCTTTTATTGCATCTCTGCTTCATGACTGAACCACATGAACATTTACCAAGGAGCTAGTAGTTCACACTCATGTAGTGCTTTGGTTTATTGTACCTGCATAATAACTAATTCAGAGCTGTGACTGTAAGTTGAGTAATGGATCAGTCAATGGAAAGATAATGAACTATTTAATTATGTGTCACTCTGTGGCTCGGGCTTCTCAAATGTTATTATGTGCTGGTTTTCTTTGTCTTTTATGACAGTAAACAGAAAATCATTGTGTTTTTTGACTTTTGGAGAGGTGAAACAAGACATTTTAAAATGTTACAAAGGGCTCTTAGAAATTGTGATGGACATTTTTGACAATGTTCTGACATCCTACAGATTTATTCAAAAATAATGAGAGTAAAACTAAGTTGCAGCCTCAAAATCATTTTTCACCTAAAGATTCATAGTCCAAAACTACAAATAACAGATAAACCTCATAATTTAAAATAAAGTGTAATTTATTCAGTGCAAAACTGCTATCCCTTTATTCGCTAACCTTCTGCCTTCCACTTAGCACTTACTTAGCATTTATTGTATTCATACTCGTTTGTGGCACTCATTGCATTTGTTTATTTCTGCACTATACTTTGGCTCTGGTTTATGCTCTTAGATGCTTGTTTAAAAAAGGAGATGCACTTATGACTTCTGGTGACTAGTAGTTCTCTTGAAAACCGATGTTGAATACACTTATTGTAAGTCGGTTTGGATAAAAGCGTCTGCTAAATGACTGTAATGTAACATAATGTCATTGATTTGGTACCCAAGTACATACAACACAGGAATTCAACCTCTTCCCCTTCCCACTTGAGTCTCAGCCAGAAGGTGGGGGGGAATCCAGAAACGTCCCTGAGGCACTGCTCTGCTTCCACTGTGCAGTTGACCCCATTCTGTCTTGTTTCTAATATATTCAACTAATGCTGGTTCTCTCTCATTACAGGTGTAAGGCAAGAGGTGACCCAGAGCCGGCCATCCACTGGATCTCTCCTGAGGGCAAACTGGTGTCTAACTCCTCCAGGACGTTGGTCTACACCAACGGTACTCTGGACATCCTCATCAGTACGGTGAAAGACACGGGCTCCTTCACTTGCATCTCCTCCAACCCTGCCGGCGAAGCCCACCAAACAATAGACCTGGTCATCATAAAACTCCCACACATCTCCAACAACACCAACAACATCCAGGAGCCCGACCCGGGATCGTCAGACATTTCCACGTCGACCCGAGGCGGAGCCAACGGGAGCAACGTAACGGGCGACGTGAAAGGCGGAGTGGAAAAGAGGGTCGTGACAGCCGAGGCCACGTCCTCAACGGCACTGATAAAGTTCAACTTCCAGAGGACTATTCCAGGCATTAGGATGTTCCAGATCCAGTACAATGGGAGCCAGGATGACTCTCTGGTCTACAGGTAAGACTGACAGAATCACTACATCACAGCAGAGTCAAGACAGTTTGCGCAATGGAAACTGAAGCATGATATGGCCAATGTGGAGGTAGAGAATTACCCAAGTCTGATCCGTATGGATTAGATTACAGTTGATTTGATGCAATTTTAATGCTCTTGTTTGGATCCTGTCGCTAGGACGCCCTACGAGTACGCGAGCAGGGTGCTACAACGGCACTTCAATGCTTTGATTCTGTAAATGAAAGATTCAACTAGGTACAGCATATGAGGTCCGAGGCTAGTAAATAATAAAATGTGTGAATGCCTCAGTTAGAGGAAATGAACTTCCAAACATAGTGTAAATGTTTCCCCTGTCAAAAACGGAAATGGTGCTGATGTTGAAGAGGAGCATTGTTTTATCAGAGCACATGTGCAGACTATTTGTCACGGCTTATTGCATTACAGCACAGACAGATATATATATATATATATATATATATATATATCATATCAGGGCACATTAGACCAACACAGAGATGAAACAGGGATGGACAGAAAAGATGGCAGACGAACTGCCACGTGAAAAAGTTCATGATCCAGGACGGCCTTGACAGGGAGGGCCGTGCTAGTCCTTCTTGACTTTTGCCGTTTGCTCAGGGTTACACAGATTACATCGATCTCGCAGGGAATGATTGTTATTTGAGCTAAATATTTACTCCGGTGAAATGGGGGAGAGGGAATTAACAAACACATAGAGCTTTCATTGGGAAATCTGCCAGTATTATCTGCCTTTCATATCGCTGCTAATCCCTATACATACTTCATCAGTACGCAACCTCGTGAAGATCTGGGGGGAGCAGTGAGATTGACCATCGGGGTCATGATAATGACAATACTCTAGGTTGTCACGTTTTCCTACGAGCTATGAGTTTGTGATCTCTTACAGTCTGTATCTCTCTGTGACTGCACCAATATATGATTAACATACACAGATAATTCATAGAAGAGCCTGCTGGTATTATCTGTCGTGCATATAATTCCTAATCTCTGTACATAATTCATCAGCACTTAACCCGATTCAGAGAATGCATCATCAAGGGGTTGGCGCCGATGGGATTTATAGCTGTCTGTCTCACAAAGACATAGCGTCATCGCTTTTCACATTACAAGATAGACGCTTTCCCATCTCTTCCTCTCCTGCTCTCTCTTTTATGCTCAAAAGCACACCGAAGCCTTTGTGCATTTGTGAGATCGTCGTCCTGCAAAAAAAAAAAGGCTGCGTCTGTACTCTCAGACTTTAAAATACTTGGTGGAAATGATGACGCTGGAGAGCGTGAAGGCCACAAAAACAAACCGCTTCCTGTTGGGACACGGAGGAGGGGCGATTAGACAGCCTTACAACACCCACACCGGTCCTTCTGCGCTCTGTGACGTCACTCAAAGTCTTTCTGTCTTTTCATCATCTCCTCTTCTGCTGGCTCTCCCTTCTTCTCTCTTCCCCCCCGAATATTAAACACTGAAGTCATTTGTGTATCTCCATGTTATTTTGCTGCTCTCTTGTCTTTAGATAGCAGATTGATTTCCATTCAACACGTCTGCTGGCACAAAGCAGCAACCCATTGATTCTGCGTTTTTGTTTTTTTGTTTTTCATTACCCAAAACACTGAGAAAAAAGAGAAGAGGGTCGGAGAGAGACAAAGAGAATACAAAAGAGGGAGGATGAGAAAAAATAAGTGGAAAATATAGGAGGAACGATATAGGGGAGAGATGATGAGAGTAAGAGGGAAAGCGAAAGACAGACACAGGAAGATGGGTCCTATTGTCACAGACGGGGTACTTACTTACTTTTCAGGTTCAATGAGAGCTTATTGATTTGCCGCACATTGACATTTGTGCGCTTAACTCCCCACCTGCTCCACATAATACTCTCGGGCTTAGCTGTGTGTTTCCTTCATACTTTGAGTTCAGCTCACTGCATAAACAGATGGATAAGTGAGCGATAGTTTAAAGCTTTTACAGGCACATCCTCCCGGTGATGTTAACCTCCCGAGCATGCAAATATGCTGCCCCCATATGAAATATAATAGTTGCAACACTCGAGTCTGTATTGATCCCTACAGGGTAGCCCCGCCCTCCGCTCCTTCCACTGGTAGGCCAGGGTCAGCTGCAGAACAGCACTTCTGCAGCTGACGGGGATTCGGTGTCTTGCTCAAGGAAACTTGCCACAGGCAGATGTTTACTGATACAGTACTGGTGTTTTAACGCCAGTAATCCTGCTTAAGTATTGTATTTCTATTCTGGAGGCAGGCCGACTGCCCAGCCGGTCGCACATCAAACCCCCTCACAGCAGCAAACTCACAGCAATTCTGCTTTTATTCAATCATCATCAATGTGTTCATATAGTAATGCATGTTTCACTAGTGATTATTGTTAAGAGTGAATAAGGGCTCAACAATAAATCTTTTTTACATCCAAATAGCAATTTGAAAAAGTGCCAATTTCAGATCACAAATTGAGTTGTATCGTACGAAATAAAACAGTGTCAGAGTGTCAAGTCTGTTTCCACATAAACAATAGAGGTGATTATATCAGCTCGGTAGTAGTCGAGCGTATGGCAGACAGCTGCTGAGTATCCCAGTTTAGCTTCTTTCCAGTATGTGCGAGTCTGTGAAGCTAATGTTAGCTAAAGCAGTTTCAGTGCAAACAAACTGTCGTGTTAATGATTACTCGCAGTTTGTCATACCATACCAAGCCAACAAGCTGTTGTGTATATAAACACAGCGCCACTTTTAAGTGGTATGATACACTTTGATAATGGATTGAAGTAAAGTTTGCCATGTTTTTAATATATTTAATTAAAGATTCAATCAGTGATGTTAAACACATGAACTTTTTGTTCAGATTCAGCGAATACCTCCTTACGGTCTCCTCACGGTGTTCATACTCCCCCCCCGGCTCTGTAAATGGCAAACAAACAAAGTGCACTATTAGCGCCATTTATATTGAAAACTTTAGAAGTTGTCTTTTATCAGACTGACTGACTTGAAGCCTTGGAGGACCTCAACATCAAGCAACTGCATGTTCTCTTATCCTCCGACTGTTCTATTCATGTAGAATCATGACGAATAGCTTGAGACATACCTATCTTGTTTAAAACGTTGGCCTATAGTTTAATTTATAGAAAATGGTCTTAATTAAAATCGCAATCAGATACATTACTCAAATCATTCAGCCCTAGTCCTTAAAATTAAGTTAGAGATTTAGTTATTTCTGCTTCACGTTGCTAATATTTTAACGAGGGACCATCTGTGAAGCTATAATTGAGTTCAATTGGCTTGATTTGTTGTTCTGTTCTGTCTTTAAGGCACAAAAACAGAGCACAACAATTTAAAGTAACTGTTCTTAAATTGTTGTATATACATGTCAAAAGCCTGTATGGCTACCAAAAGAAACATGTTTCTCACTTCTCATCCATCGCACCTTCCTGACTGTTTTTCTCTTTTCTTTTCCTTCTTGAATGCAAACTGTAAGGAACTAAATTGAGTGATCCACACAGCCCTTATCTAAGCCTCAGCTGTTAACCCTTTATTTCAAGGGAAGGCGGAAATAATGTGCTGACCTTTGACACATGACCTATCATGCAGGTTTTGACCTTTACACCTCGCTGGTTTTATTGAACAATCCACAGGCCGCGTCGATGATGATAATAAAACCAACAGCCAGCCTCGACAACGACGACCATAAAACGAATGCGCTCTTATTTCGACGTAGAGGCAATCACTGTGCTTCATTTAATGTTTGGGTGAATGCAAGCCATTCTGGGATTATGGAAAGAATGAATTCACAAATCATAGGATGAATAGATGTAATGTCTAATCAATGAATATATTAAACAATGATGAGGGTAAAAGTGAAAATATATGTGTGCCTTGAACAGAAAATAAAGATAGAAAACAAAAAGGTATTTCAAATGATAACTGAAATATGTATGTAAAATTTCATATCAATAATAAGCCACAATCAAGGTACCAACATTTGGGTTGTATTATGCCTTTATTTGGACCTTTGGACTTTCAAAGCTTTGTTCTATTAACCCCTTCACACAAAGCAGTACTCCTGTCATTTCTCATCACAGGTTTTTGTCTGAAAGAAGTAAATAATATGTAATATTATTTCTTACTCTTTCAACCTATTCAATCATTGGGAACCACTGGTCTAAATGGTCATTTAAACCAGTAGGTATGCAATGATGATATTTATAAAAATAAGATCAAGAATAATAATTAGAGAAAGAAATATTAAGGACAAATAAATAAAGAGAAATAAATATGAAAATGTATGTTGAATACATAGGTATTGAATACTGGGTTGTGCATTATATTGACCTGTGTGTAATGGTCTTTACGATATCTGTATAAGAAAAATTAAAATTGTGCACATGCCCTCAAGATATGCTAAGATGCTTTAGAATTGAATCAATAAAATACTTCAATTCTGTTTGCCATGCATAAACACGAGCCCTGGACAAATGGTTGATTAAAGGCTGAGGTGAAATATAGTTCATCCACTCCAAGCCTGCATACATAAAGGCTTTAAAATGTATGCCAACACTGAAGCTGTATTGTCTTCATGGGACACAAACTCCACTTCACATCCAAGTTACTTACGAACACACACACACACACACACACACACACACACACACAACATACATTCTACCTCTATCCTAGTCCTCATCTGCTCTGCCGGTTTTTTTTCTTTTGTTTTTCCTCTAAGTTCATTCAGCGGTTGTTTTCTGCTCCAGCAGATCCATCGAGCTACAGGGGCTGGTTGCCATTTGCCAGAAAAAATACACATCAAGCAAATTGTGTGGCAAGCGTCTATATGAGGCTACACAACAGGTCATGGGGGATGAATCCAGGCTTTTAAGAAGGCACTCTCTCCCCCTGTCTCTCTCACACTAGCAGGAAGTAGTTTATCCTTGCCTTTGGTCCCTGCAGCCCAGGTATAACACCTTGCTCAGC